TTAGAACCTTGATTTGAGCCTCGGAGAAAAGGTGTTCTTTCTTTTAGCCAATGTGTAAGGTAGAATAGGTGGAGATTCTTGAAAATTACCCCTTGGAGTTCGGTCGAAAAATTTTATAAGGTCCTTCTTCTTCTTCGAAAAAAAAAAGACAAATATCTATGCTTCTATATAAATATATATATATAAAAAAAGAGAAAAATAAGAAGAAGAGACTAGAAGGGAGAAATAAGGACTAGTTGTTGAACTATCTTTGAAAACTCGATCCATTGCCTCAAAAGTAAAAGTGGAGACTTTTGAACTTTTGAGAATCGAGTTTACTAAAGTCCGTAGAGGTGAATTCATTGTTTCAAACGCCTATCTTTCAAATTTTGGCGTAATCACCTAAATTCAAGAAGAATAGCCACATATACCCATATTCCTACCTCGAACCAAAAAGCCTAACAATTGAAAGCCACAAAGCCCCAATGATCCCAATAGCTTAATGTTCGATATTAGTAGAGTAGAATAATTTGGTGAGTATTTGGAGTCAAGCATATGCATGTAAGTATAAATTCTTTCTATCTTTCATTTGCAAATATTGGATGCTTGAAGGAATTGTATGAATTGTGGTTTTTTGTAATGGTGAGTGACTAAGTGTTGTTGAATTTTGAGCTTGCGAATGCCTAAGAATTGTCATTATAATTACAAGTTCTGAAAACGTGAAGTTGATCATTGATCTATGTGATGAGATGTAATAGTTGAGTTATTTGCTTATTGGTAGATTTTGCTTAAGGACAAGCAAAAGTTCAAGTTTGGGGGTGTGTTAAGTGTATATTTTTACACTTTATCGTATCTTTTTATTTGAGCTTTTGGTGTGTTTTAACGATAATTGGTGCTTAAAAAGTTGATTTATTGTATTTTAGATACAAATTGAAGAATTGGAAAAGTATGGGGTCAAAACTGCAATTTTGGAGAAAATTTGGGCCAAAAGTGAAAAAAATCAAAATTCTGAAGATTTAAAGCTCGGACCCCCGTCCGAGTTTTAGTTCAAATTCTGGGACCCCCGTCTGAGAACCAGAAGCTGTCTCTGGTTGTGAGACGGCCGTCCGAGTCTTAGTACAAAATTCAGGACGGCCGTCTGAGATGACGAAAAAAACGCAGTAAAGGAATCCTAATTGCACAAGGAAACTACCTTCTTCCCCAATTTTTCCACCCTATATAAGACCAAGTCAAGCACACAATTAGGGATCCATCTGGGGACGCAAATTCAAGAGCAAAGAAGATCAACGAAGATTCAAGCATAGTTTTTCTTATTTAATTTATTTATTTTATTTTATTTATCATAAGAATTACGAGTAGCTAAGTCTTTATTTCTAGGATTTTATTTGGAACCCTAAGTGGGATTTATGAACCCTTTTCTATGATTTTATGCAAGTTTTAATTCCGGATTATTTCTTCTACTTGTTTTATTAAGTTCATGAAACTGGCCACTTTATGCGCTTTTATGTTATTGTTAATCGCATGAATTGGAAGATCGGGTTAATAATTAGAACTGTGGTAGAAGAGCCTTTGTGGTATTAACATAGGAATATAGTTAATCTCTTAGGTAGCCATTATTGAGATTTGTGCTTAATGATGTGTTCTAGAATTAATTGCATAGGAATATAGTAATTGAATCTAGAGTATTAGAATCGTAATACACGCGGAAGCGGGTTATGATTATTTTAGCATCTCATGTTAATAATCCCGGTTAATTGCTTGCATAATTCAAGGAATTGGGGGAGTAATAATCACATAGGGGGGAGAATAAAATCCTAGGCTTGTCTACTTTGATTAATCTTCGTTTTTAAATTGCTTTCTTGTTTTTGCCTTTTTAATTTGCTTAGTTAGTTTAGTTTATTTTAGTTAATTCTCTCTAAAGTCGACTGGTGTAGGGTGGGCTTGATAATAATTGGTAGAATTTAGCGTCTAGGATTAAGTAATTAAATATTCCCTATGGGTTTGATATCCGGACTTAATTGTCCACTATATTACTTGTACGATACGTGCACTTGCGTGTAGGTTTTCGGCCAACAGTAGCCGAGAAACATGTTTCCGCCGGTGAATATGTTGAGGATGAAATAGTGGTAGGGTTTCAGACGGAGGAGAAACACCCGTTTCACGATGCCATGATTGAGGCCTCGGCTGCTACGGTTACGGGCTTCGACTCCGCCAGAGAATTGAGTACGGTGAAAAGCATGGCCTGGTAGGCCGAGCAGTGGAAGATGATAATCCGGCCGGAGGGAGGCGCCGCCGAAGCCGACTCAGATGATAGGAGCGCGTGTTCACGCATGAAACTCTGACCGGATGTAGCTTCTAAAGTTTTTGCTGACACATGAGTACTGGAGTGCGTTCCTCAGGGGTAGTAGTTTGATGATTTCGAAGACGAGATCATCCGTCAGCTCAACCGTGATTGTATTCCTGATCTTAGAGATGATTTTTAATATTTTTTTTTATTTGGAGAGTTAATTTATGATTTCATGTATTGTTTACAACAACATTGTGTAGATGGAAACCTAATAGGTTTGGAATACCATTGTAAGTATAGATGATTTTTAATATATTTTTTTATTTGGAGAGTTAATTTATGATTTCATGTATTGTTTACAACAACATTGTGTAGATGGAAACCTAATAGGTTTGGAATACCATTGTAAGTATGTATTTACTCTTTCATAAGTTAACACAAATTTTTACTCAAAAAAAAGTTAACACAAATTTACTCTATCACTAATAAGTGAAAAGAGGTTGGACCCATCCTTATTAAAAAAATGCTAGATGTGTTATTCAGTATTTTTGTAGTCTTGTGAACATACTTATATAAGAATAGTTCAAGATGTTCGATTTGCGACTTTTAGGTGTTAATGATGACAAATGAATCATATACTTCTATTTATAATTTACCTCCGTAATAGATGATGGAGAGTGATTTTATCGTATGGTCTAGAGTGGCTCTCTAGAGCAACCCATTAGATTTCTAGGTATATTCCGCATGTAAGTATAATAGAGAGGTTTCTAGCGATTTCCTAGAAATATCTACGCCTTGGATGACAACTCTCTAAATTGTTAAGGAAAATGTATATCTACTTTTTGAGTTTAAAAAAAAAACTCCATATGAATCTTTGAAGGTTTATTATTTCATTTGGTTTGTAATATAACAATTAAATGATGATTGAACATATATGTTTTGTTTGATGAGATCTAAAACTTAATTACATCACCACTCAATTACAAAAAAATAATCAAGTTATGTTGAAAATGAATATACTAGATTCTACTAATGTAGATAAGTTCAAAACATTAAAGATTATAGAATTATCTAGAATTATTGAATATGGAACGATACACAAATGTGACTCCTCTGAGAAAGATTCACATACGAATCTATGTCTAGAAATAGAATGTTATTAATTATAGTTCATGTATTAGATTAGATACATTTGTTGTAAATTTGAGTGAGTTGTAAATTTGTTGATTGTGTATAATATAGCTCTCTACTTTGATTTATTCCGCTACTTTGATTGTGTATATATATTGTGCAAACGATCCAACAAAAATGGTATCAGAACGACGATTTAGAGAAAAATCAATGGCAATCACAAGTGGAGCTTTCCAATTTCAAAAGCTTGCTAAAGAAATGTAAAATCGGCTTCTCTTTGCGGCAGTAAACTGTCACTTTGCACTCATTTGTTTATAGGGGAGGTAAATGTAATATCATGAGATGTTAATGTTAGGAATTTCAATGTCTAGGGGAGTTAAAAGTAATATATTTCTATATTAGAAATTGCATTAGTAATTTAGTATAGCTAGATGGATAATTATACCATTATTTTGCAAATTTCGCGGCAGTGGTAGCAGCGCCGGCGGTGGAGGACTCAACAACCGCGGTTGTGCCCTCATATCAGAATTTTGCCACCGCCACCGTCACCGCCTCCTCCATTGCCTCCCGCGTCGTCACTGTTTCTCCACCATTCATCGATTTGCGTGCACTTGCCTAGCAATCGCACCTTCTCCGGTCGCCGTCGTCGGCCTCCTGTCGCTGACGTCGAGAGAGATTGAGATGAGATAGATATGGAAAATGAGAGAGAGAGAAGAACGAGAATTGTGGGTTTGATGTTAATGGTAGGCTGGGAGAAGAACAAAGACGAAAGAATAAACGAGAAATAAAGAGAGATTGTGCGTTTGAGATTTAGGTTGGGATGTTTATTAAAGGGGTAAAATAGGAATAACATATTTTTAAGGGTGGGTCTCACTAATTTAAATTGACATTTGGGTTATGAAAAAAGTATTTAAAAGTTAATTGGGTTTAGTTCAAAATATTTTCCATTTGAGAAGGGTATTGCATATTTTCCAAAAAAAAAGTTAAATAGGGAGTTCACCCCACAACCATGAGGTATACTAAAATAATTTTAAGATCCCTGTGGTATTGGTAGTTACTGCCACATCCCTGAAACAATTACCGGAGCCAAGATTTCATGTCCTAGGGACCAATATGCACTATATTTATTTCCCGCGGAGCCGTTAATGCTACCATAGACGAAAATTTATAAATCTTATATGAAATAATAAGGACTTAAGAATTGTTAGGAGAGTCATGTCACTTACTAGCTCTATGTTGTCTCCATCACTGCCTGAAATTAATAGTCCGTTATAACCTTAACGGAATAACTTATCTAATGCATTATTCTGTTAGGATTTCTAACAATGTTTTAGGGGTCTGATTGTAATTATCAATACATCAGGGACCTTAAAGTTTTTTTGGCATACATCAAGGGTGTAAACATCTGAAAGCCTACCTAACATTCTATCTGAGAGAGGAAGAATCTATAATTTCACTATCTCACAGGGGATCCAAGTGAAATTACTAGCATATAAATTCACGTGAATATTTTACCCGATGTAGCATCAACATGAACATCGATTATGTCCACAAAAAACAATATAGTTACCGACATCCAAATTCAAATTAACAGCCACATTGCAACAAAAATACCAATTTACATATTTGGAAACAAATGTGTTCGTAGAAATGATTCACAAGACAAACTATTCACTCATCGTTCTATGTACAATTCCAGTACCAGTTACTAAGGAAGAAACAATGGTTAAAAATTGGTACATAACTTACTAACAAACATTTAACGTATTTTCCAACTATTTAAAGGCTATATAAATTCAAATCTTTGTCAACCTAAGTTAATAACTATACTTTAAAATTTGATTCTTCACAACTTCAGCCACAATCGATTCTTAGCCTCTTCAACTCAACTTGGAAACTAGGGCTGGATTTTAGTGTTCGTTGACCGAGAGCCCTTATATCTTCCCTTGAACAATCTCGAGATATGCGAACGAGTTCCCACAGGGCCCCACCATTAATCATTTCCTTTGCATTCACCTCTGTAATTAAAGACAGTTCTGGCAGTTTAGTTATACCATTGACTAAGTTTTTTTTTTAAGAGTAAAAAATTAAAATGAAATTTCACCGTGTTGTGCTAAATGGCAGAGTGCTAGTTCAATGTGACGCCTGATTGGAGAAGCTTCGTTATTAGCATTCTGCACAATCCAGGGGAGTGCACCATCTTCAATTAGTACTGACCTCCCACTCTTAGTTCCTGTATTAAAAAATTAAAAAATTATCAGTTTACAGATAGTTGCGTTTGTATCATGTTTAAGAGGAGTTTGTATAGAGTGTGAATGCGAATAGTAAATCAGCAAGGTAAAATTCTTCTGGATGTGAAGACATCATTCCTGAAATCTGTGTACTAAGAAGTCCGATGAATTGGTAAATGAGAATGAAAAAAGAACATTGAAGATACTTAATGACGAATTGCATAAAGTATCATTCTCGTAGCATTAATATGAACGAGACTAAGTAGTTGACCTTGAGTAGATGCTCTAGACTCGCATTTTGCAAAGTTTGCGATTCCACGAGCAACTTGAGCGAGAACGTCTGGATGTTTGCATCTAACCATTCCGAGCAGAGCCCTAATACCGCCTTCAGCTCTTAGCTTCCCTTGTAACTTATCTGTGAGAGTAACAGCAAATATTTAGCAAGTAACACGAACTTTATCATAAAATATTTTATACACCAGAAAAAAGATTAGTAATAAATGAGAAGTTTTACCATTGCCGCAAAGATTAGCAATGGCTCCAGCGACCATACGGAGAGTCTGAGGGTCCTCTGCCTTGGTTGCTGTCAGTGATAACAAGCTTATGCCTCCTTGAGACATTATAAGCTCCTGGTTCGTTTCTGCCAATATTAATTAACCAACGAGTTGTCTTCAAAACTCAAATGTAATACAGAATATCTTCTTCACGAGTAAACATGTAAATTCGAAATGGAAAAATGTACCGTTCATTGCAAGATTTGCTATAGCCCCAGCTGCAACGCGATGTATGGTCTCATCAGTGGAACTTCTCAGGAGTGTAAGTAAAGATGCAAGTCCACCAGCTTCCACAATCCTTTCTTGGTTCGACTCTGAATATTCAGGAAAGAATAATGAGCTGTAAAATTCATAAGCAACCCCAGTTTGAAGGATCGAACAATCGGTTTTCCATCCAAGTTCATATATATTTTTTGGGTAAATTACAAATAATTCCCTGATGTATGACAAAATTGCAAAATTACCCTTCTTCTTTGCAAAAATATATTTACCCCCTCAAACTGGCGGCCCGTTAAGAATAATAACAGAAAAAAGTGAAATGTCTTAACTGTCCGTGATTAAAACAAAAACACCAAAATATAATCTTACAAATAACCCCCGAGCTATGCTTAATTGCAAATATCTTGCTTTTAATCCATACATTTACATGTAATAAATCTAACGAAATAATTAAATATCGAACTGTCCAATTAAAAAATGGTTAAATATCTTCATGCAAAATATTTATTATACCCCGATATTATTAATGAATAACATAAATGGATATATTCGATGTAAAAGAGTTCATAATCATTTGTCTATTCTTCTTCCTTTGTTTCCACAAAAACCATAATGAGAGAAATTATGAATGGAGCAACAATAGATAAAGGCCATCTTGGGATTAAATTTCACATTATTCAAAAATCTTACAATTACACCCCCTCAGAAATGATTTTTTTTACATGGTAGTAACATGACACGTGCAAGGGTGAATAATTAAAAAAAACATTAACAATATTCCCTAGAATCTAAAGATTCTGTTAGCCATAGCACTGTAAGGGCAAGGGAAAAATGTTAGCAGAGAATAAGCATCTAAGCTCCAATATTAGCAAATCGGAACTAATCGGTATATATGCCACTGACACGAACCTAATCAAACTGACATTAAGTTCTTAAGATACAGAAGCCAGTCTCGTTTCATAAAGATCATTTAAATCATCAACACCAAACACAGGCAGACGAAACATGGAAAACAATATATACCAAAAGAATAGGAAATGACTTAGATCCTACCTTCCGCTGCGAGGTTTGCAACTACTTTAACAGCATGAATACGTACATCAGCATCTTCTGATTCAAGTAATGACAATATTTTGTGCAATCCCACTGTTGCGATATGTCGCATATCAGAAAACATAACACAAAAGAGCGAAAAAAATAATAATAATAAATAAATAAATAGAAAATATAAATAAAAATAAAATAAAAAAACCACCTTGTTCAAAAAGTTTCACCATCGAGGTTTTCTCTCCATTACCGGACTCTCTGGGTTCTTGATGGTTGGACTCGGGGGTGAGAGAATCCACGGGACTAGGTATCTCTCCACTCAAACCTCTATCAAGATTTCTTCTTGACTACAAAGTCGTTAAGAATGAATGTTGATAATTTCTCATGCACGACAATTGGAAATTACATACTTATTTTATTGGCAAACGGGAAATTCATGTATTACTTACCGGCCAAATTCAGCTCATACAACAATGCTAGAGACTAATGAAGTTAAATTCATGAAAAATATAAATGCATTTTAGAACTATTAATATTGAAGCAAAATGTGCATAAGTTGTTATTTGTTAATCTAATCGCAACATATCCCATAAAATAGGAACGTGGGGAAACGTGTAAAATATTAAAATTATAAGGGCATATTTATAAATTATATACATATATTTAATATGTTTATTTATAGATTATATTTTTCATATTTCTTTATAAAATATATTCAATTAAATATTACTATCAAGGTGCAATTAATTATCAAATAATATTAATAATTAAGGAAGCAACAAAAATGTTTGGGAATTTGCCATTGAAATGCATTTTTTGTTTTTCAAAAATTATTTTCTGGCAGGTATCAAAAAAATTGATTCCACAAACTGGAAAGTGTTTGACATGCGGAAACTGCAAGAGTTGCCATGCATGTTGAACGGACGGGATCAATTGAACTTGTTTTAGTTTAATTGGTAATGACAACCTGCTTAGGGCTTACCTCATCTGCTTCAAAACTTATTTGCAGTAGCTGACTTTGTAGCAACTCTATCTCATCTTCGAGTTTTGCCTTCTGTTGTTCTTCATCTTCCAGCCTCTTACGAAGCTTCAAGAATTCGGCATTTCTGGCATTCTGGTAACACAACTAATTGCTATTTAAACTCTAAGATACAAAATTTAACAAGAAATAACAAATGTTCTGATAATAAATTAAGAAATTAACGAATAGATCACCTCAGTGTTTTTCCAATGCATCAATTGATTTTCAAGATTGTCAACTTCAGCTTCTGCAGCTTTGCGCAAGGCAATTTCATTGTGAAGCTTTTGTTTAATCTCCGCAACTTCACCTAAAGCCAATAGCATGGTAGGCTACAGGAAATAAAAAAAAATAGTAGCATTGTAAAAACTCTGACTGAGATAAAATCGGAACTTTAACTATCTGGCAGCCAAATTAGAGAACAGTATCAAAATTAAGGAAAGACAAAGAAAAGGCAAATCAAAAGATGGCAAAATAAATATACTTCGGGATTTTATAGATAAATTATTCAGTATGGGAGTCTAAATGTAACTCTAAGAACATAATCAACAGCAAACATAGAGAAGACGGATATTAGTATCACAGACAACTACCGAATTTTCAAAACTTAGCAGCCTAACATTTCAATCCTTAACTAAAAGCATCACGTGAGGGATTTTATTGTGCATACCTCTGTGTTTGACCTCCTAACGGATTCCATGTAATCTTTCTGATATTTCAGTTTCTCCTTCTGAAAAAGGTAGCAATACTTAGAGATTTGAAGTGCAAATCTAAACTCAGATAGCTATCAGCATATGGACTTATATAATATCAACTCATATTTACGAAACACTTTCTCCATATTACCAGAAAAAAAAATACGGAACTATAACAAACGAAATTAACATGAAAAAGAAAACATGATACATATACTTTTGCGCAATCATATGCATATAGTGCATTCGCATACCTCTAATGCATCAGCATAGTTTTGTTCCACCTCATCAACACGCTCTTGTGCTTCCAAAGCTATCCTTTCAATCTCGTCCTGAAATACTTTTTGTTGCCTTTCATGTTCTGCAATTAATTTGTCCAATTGTATTTCGAGCTTCCTTGATAAACTTCTGTAATCAAATTCCTCTTTGATTTTTAGCATATTTTCCACTTTCATAGCCTGCATAAATCAGTATGGTAACAACAAATGAATCAACAACAAGTCAACAACTACAATAATACGTACAGTACTAGACTCTTTTCCGGCCCAAAAATTAGTGTTTCATAATATCTTTTAAAACTTCCATTTATCATTTTGAGGATCTAAGCCGACATTAAATAGGGACAGTTGGATATACACAATTATCTTCAAATGTAACCTAGTAAATACAAAGAAGAGTAACTAGATAAGCCTAGATATTTAATGCTCATATTTCAAAGAAATGCAGCGGAAAAATTGATTCACCCGTTGTCCAAACATGATGGTACTAGATGTCTCCCCTCGATGACGTGGTGATGGCCCAACAGTAATAACCAATGAGGTTCTTGCTGTACCTACGAGTTGGACATTGTTCACTGTATTAAATAAACGTTTCATTTCATTGGATCTTTTAGTTACTCTACTATTTCCAGGGTTTTTTTTTTTCATTTATAATAATAGGTTCTTTGCATATAATTTGATGATAGCATCCTCATTTTCATAAATTATCACCTCCAAAAGAATCTCGAAGCAGTCTAGTAAGCTTTGAATCACGGACAGGAACATGGGCACTGTTCTCGGCCAAAGCATTAATGCACTTTCCTAGTGCACTCAAAGAGAGATTGATAGATTTGGCCTCCTCCAATGTATGACCCTCACTCCCTGCCGCCAGAAGGAAACAAATATTATTGAAAGTAGGAAGAAGAAAGGACTATATTCTGCCGCTTATAGATGCCAAAGCAATATCTTCTTTCAAAAATAAGTAACGGAAGTATACTATGAAATGTGTTGTTTAGCGAACCTACAGACGAAAGATAAATGCCATAACCACATGAAGTAATTATAGTAACTACAGAATGGCGCATCCACTTTTCCAATAAAAGAAAGAGAGATATAAATGGACTTGGGAAGCAGAGAGGCGAACCAACATAAATACTGGACAACTATCCCTTTAACGAAATACATGAGTTAGTGAGATAGACGATTAAGGATAAGAAACTTGGGATGTGAGATTCTAGAAAGAAATAATTAGAATCGTTTATTAGAAGAATTGCAATACTTGTCAAAGTCATGTTTTTGTGTAGTAATGTTTGAGTCTTTGATTTCGTAAGGCGACTGATTAATTTAACCCACAACTATGCAAATAACTTCTTTTCAAGAACAATGCAAAAGTCATAGATAGGTCAATCAGTTTCATAATTATGAAACTGAATGCATATTCCCCTACTATACCAGAGGAATACCTGACTTGTTAATGCGTTCGGAACCAGCAAGATCAACAACAACTAGCTTGCTTTTTCGTACAATGGCAGGCTTCAATGTTTTACCCAATAGAGTCGTGTTACCATTCTCACCTGCAAAGGAAGAATTTCTTCCTTTGACGGACCTCT